AAGAAATGCAGGACGGGACGGTTTTTTGGCCGCTCATTGTTCCGAATGTGGATGCCAGCCTTTGTTCGAACAGACAAGGGTTCTCGCGTCCCACCCTAATGAAGGCACAAGACTTGTAATTGAAGCTGCAGCAATTGCTCGAGGTAGCTGTATCAGCAAACCATCGATAGCATTATCTGGGAAAGAATTGGCGTTTTTGAATTCGGCACGTGAGGGCCCAGGGTGAGCACGTGATGTTTTTGCAATCTCTCTTTTCGCCTTTTGATTTTGTGTGTTGCTTATCTTCTTTCTAATATATATATGTGTGTCGTAGTAGTAATAAAATCAGTTGAAAGTCTGCGCTCGTCCTTGTCTCTTATGTTAGTTGTCTGAAGTTTTACGCGCCTAGAAGTTTCATATGGATCACCAACTAGCCCAATCCCACACTTTACTCGAGATCTGAACCAGCGACCTTCATTTAGCCTCGGTCCTTTCCTCTACCCTGTGTGTTGGCCATCCTCCAACTGTTTATTACTTTCAGTGTCCCTAGTCTGTCGCCTGCACATAAGCTACGAGGTGCGAGTGTGCAACTTTCACCCTGGTGTAACGTCTTTGCAAGACGCGCTATAAACCGAGCTGTTAACTAAGTGCTGTCATGCTTAGGGTGCTCGGCTGAACGCGATTTATGAGGTGGTTCAGCTGGAGCATCGCCAATCTTGGGGGGGGGGGGGGGGGGACGAGCTGCTGACTCTTCGCTTCTTTGAAATCAGTTTGCTTCGGGCGTCCTGGTTGGAGGGCATCCGAAACATTGGTATATGGTCCATTTAGTCAGCTCCTTATGGTCCACAACTTCATCCAAGCGCCCATTGCCCATTTCGCTCATGTTTCTGCTGGTATGCGCTTTCCAGCTCTTCAGTTAACAGTGAATGTTTTGGTCTTGCGCCAAAAAGCACAGTGCAACTAGAGGGGATAGGGGGTAACCATAATCATCGAAAAGACTTGGTCTGCTGAAAGTCTGTTTCAACATGTTTGACTCGTAAAGCTCAGTTTTATTTAGTCTGTGCTATATTTCTTTATGTGATTTTTTATACAAAATATATTGCCGCATGAATTCGCGTGGTTTTCGTGTGGAAGAGGACGAAGAGGTTGGGATTGAGCCGCTTTTTAATGCCGCATGAATTCGCGTGGTTTTCGTGTGGAAGAGGACGAAGAGGTTGGGTTGGAGCAGTTTTTCTTTTTGTCCTAGCTTGACGAGCAGTTCTGCGGAAGGTTTCCTTGAGTGAGACAAGATTGGTGACAAGATTGGTGGAGCTGCTGGGTACGACAACTGACGACGCACCCCATGCACAAGAGCCCATCCAGGAGCCGGAACACAAGCCCTGTGCCCGTGGACACGCCAGTTCACAGAACAAGCCGCCGCCAACGAGGCCTACCACCAGAGACACCGGCACAGCTTATCCATAGAGCGACTATGACTTCGCCTCAAGGCGTCATGGAAACTCCTACGTCGTCGGCACCAATTTATTGCACTGTCCAGAACCCGCTGATGCCTAGTCCCTTTCACGGAGAGCTGTTTGAGGATGTGGACGACTGGCTGAGCGAGTTCGAACACGTCGCAGCGATCAACTACTGGGACGAAGCCGCCAAACTCCGCAACGTCTACGCGTGTTTGAAAGACGGCGCCCGAACGTGGTTCATGAACAGAAGTGATGTCTTGACATCCTGGCGCGAGTTCCAGCATCGCCTCTTGGAGACCTACGGAGCCCCGACCGCCGCGATCGTGCTGAACGTGCATTGCATTCACGCATCCAGATGCCTAATGAGACCGTCACCATGTACGTGGAGGACATGACGGCAGCTTTTCAGGCGAGCGGATCCGGCAATGCCAGAAGAAAAAAAGCTACGCTATCTGATGCGAGGCGTGAAGGAGCAGCTTTTTGCTGGTCTAGTGCGGAGTCCTCCGAAGAGTGTAGCAGAATTCCTGAGCCGAAGCCACTACGATGGAGAGGGTACTTCATCAGCGGTCAGCCCTACTCAACCGGCAAGTGAATTCTGCATCACCTACTGAATTTTCCGCCAGCTTCGGGAGCAACAGCATTGAGTGGATTCGCGAAATCGTCCGCTCCGTCGTCCGCAGAGGAAATCGCGAAAACTACACGGGGCGAGGACAGCCGGAGTAAGCAGCATCACCAATATTATTCGGGACGAGGTCCAGCAGGTGCTTCACAGCCGTCGCCCTCAACCAACGGTTACAAATCTAGACCACCTCCTGCGTCCACTGATGTTGGGAACCGCACATATGCCGAAGCTCTGCGCACTTCCATGCCGGTCTCAAGCCCTGCAGTCCCAATCCAGACGATGCCGCCAGTTTCAATTCAATCTGCGCATGCTGGTTTGGACATCGACGGTCGCCGTGCCCCTCCGCGGAAGTCCGATATTTGGCGTACGTCGGATAGAAGACCCCTCTGCTTCCATTGCGGTGAAGCCGGTCACATCTACCGGGAATGTCCATACCGACAACTTGGACTGCGCGGTTTCTCTATTCATTCGCCTCGTCCCCTAGTTGGTCAGAGGCCAAGAGAAATTGAGGACTACCTCGCGCAGCAACGTCTGCCTTTCCCACGGCGTCAATCGCGGTCTCCATCTCCACGACGACCCGCAGCTATTGGACCACGTCTCAGTACGATGGCACGGGGACGTTCCCAAGCTTTCGTCGGGAAAACTGAAGGCAGCGACCTTCGGGGGCGAGGTCGCTGGGACTAAAAGTGCGGAAGACCTCCTATCGACGCTTCCACAAAACGCTGCAGACATTGAATTGACGTCTGAGTGCAGTGCGAGAGAAATGCCGGATTGTGCGTCTGAACCCAGTGGCCGAGTCTCACTCGACATTCCCGTGCTGATAGACGGTCTTCAGGTCAGCGCATTGGTGGACACAGGTGCAGATTATTCTATTATGAGCGGAAAATTGGCAACCAGTCTTAAGAAAGTGATGACACCTTGGAATGGGACGCGTATTCGCACTGCTGGAGGCCACGTTATTACTCCATTGGGTCGCTGTACCGCAAGAGTGGAAATACGCGAGTCAACGTTTGTGGTAACCTGCCTCGTACTACGCGACTGTTCTCGTCAGCTCATCCTTGGAATGGACTTCCTTCGAGAGAATGGCGCGATCATAAATCTCCGCGAGCGAATTCTCGTTCCTGCCTCTAGCTTGCCAGACCTGCATTATTTTTACTTTCGTGCAAAACAAACATCTTACGTAAACATATTTCCTTTCACATCGGGCCTGTGCCTCTTAAACAGCAAAGGGTACGCTGTCCTGCAGCCATGGCGTCTCTTCACCCACAAGGGGGTGCCCTCCTGGTTCCAGCATCTAGCTTGCCTTATGGGGAATGCATCGTATAAGAAAGCCCATTCCTGTAGCCTGCCCTTCCGTCTTCACTCCGTTTCAGGACTCTCTTCGGCGTTGCTGCTCGTCATCACTCCGCTGCAACCACTAGTGGAAAAGTGGGTGACAAAGTACATCTTTTGTTGTCTCCATGAGACATTCCAGTGATCTCTAGATCCCCCTGACTACCAACTCCTCTTTAAATGCTGTTCAAAAGTGGCCTAGACCTGGCTTTAAGAGGTGGTTCAACAGTCCTAAGGTTTACACAATCTATTACACCTCAGCATGGTTTCCTGTTCAGTTGCCATACACTGAATCTAGTGTTTTTTAGCGGCTATGCCAAATATATTTGACCCCGTATGATAGACTTTATGGCTCAAGCGTTACATTGATGTTTCACAACCATGCTCACATTTCACCATATACATGACTGCACTGCGATTGATAGACCCATACGTGCATGTTTTAAGCCATGATAGAGGAATCCCTTCACATTGTGCAATGCAGTGGCGTATAAATTATCTGTTGCATTAAATTGCACGAAAAGCGGGGCAACCTTTTCGACCTTCTGCGTGTGCACGTGCAATTGGCTAGTCTTGGGCAGCAACTTTAGTTTCAACATTCACGGCTCAACTCGGTGCGCTTTTGGTTCACTCTTGAGATCCATGTGCGGGCCCTCCCTGCCTGTTCTTAGTACAATGAGGTGTTTCAGCTGGAGCATCTCCAATCTTTAAGGGGCAAGCTGTCGACTCTTCGCTTCTTTGAAATCAATTTGCTTCGGGCGTCCTGGTTGAAGGGCATCCGGAACATGATATATGGACCAGTGCCAACATTTAGTCAGCTCCTTATGGTCCAGAACTTCATCCAAGCACCCATTGCATCTTTCCCTCATGTGTCTGCTGGTATATGCTTTCCAGCTCTTCAGTCAACACTGAATATTTTAGTCTTGCGCCCAAAAGCACAGTGCAACTAGAGGGGATAGGGGGTGACCATAATCATCGAAAAAGACTTGGTCTGCTGGAAGTGTTTCAACATGTTTGATTCGTAATTCTCAGTTTTATTTAGTCTGTGCTATATTTCCTTATGTGATTTTATAAAAATATATACAGAGGTCGGAGATTATATGGACAATGTGTGCAGCAAGGCAGGCTTCTTGCTCTTTGAGTGAAGACTTTTTGCGTCTTCAAGCTCTAAAATGGTGGATAGGTTCACATCGGCGAATTGTACTTGCCTGTCGAGATAACTCAAGTACAGCAGGCCAGTCGCCTTGGTGACTAGTGCAATAGTCCTGTTTGTGTACTCGTCAATGTTCTCCAATAGGTGAGGTCACCGGCCATTCGTGTGTCCCTCAGCCTTGAAGGCATACACGTTGGTGCCGACTTTTATGTAATCTACCCTTGAAGTAAACTGAAGGGATTTTAGAAATAAATCAAACGTCGTGTTTAGTAACGACAGGCATTATTGTTCAATATGCCATGATTGTTTTCGCGGTTGTAGCCGCAGGAGCTTAGAACAGGCGAAATAAAAGCTTCCCTTGCTCCGTCCCCGTGAGCGTGCTGAAAGTGCGGGCGTGGAAACATACGTCATCTTCGTTTCCTCTGGCCGGGTGCAAGTGTTCTTTCTTATCTTCAACCATGGCCTCCGTGACTAACCCATGACGTGCCGTTGCCGGAAAAAATCGAAGAGGCCACACTTCAGCAGTGCTGCTGCTGCAAATGACGCGGCATACCGAAAACGACGTCGCCGTGTTCGCTCGGCATCTCAAGAAGCCCTGCGGCCACAGCCAGTTTTTTTTTTTTTTCACCAAAAAGTGCTATTAGCGTTCGTTTTTTTTTTCTAGAACTCTCACATCGCTTGTCTAATTCAGCAGTGAGAAAAGTGTCCTTACATGCTCCTAAGTCATTTTTTTAGAAAAAAGCTCCAACTTTCCTTTGAGGAGGAAATGCTGCTGTCTTCTAAAGTTGTATCATTCAGTCTAGTAGTGTGCAGAGATTAATTTGAAGCCATTCATAGTTGTATATCGTTCAATTAAAGTGTTTAGAAGTGTTGTTTGTGTTAAATTTTATTTTATTTTCTGCTCGGCACATGTGCTCATCTTCATTATCCCTTTTTTGTATCTTTCCTGGTTTACTAAGTACCTTTAGGCTTCCGTGCTTGTGGTTTTTCCTCTCTCTCTCTCTTCTATTGGCCAAGACTTAGGCCAAACCTCATAAGCGCGAAAATGCACGCGACAGCAACGAGGGACGCTATGAGCGACGAAACAGGGCGTTCGCGCGACGTGTCGCGTGCTCGTTTTCGCGCGATCGCTCGGTTCTTCAGATTTGGAAACCGTCGCTAATCGCCCGGAAGTGCTGGGCTCAAGCAGCCAATAGCGAAATACCGGAAGAGACAAAGACTACATAGGTGCACGTGATCCTGCCCGAGTCACGTATGCGCAACAGGAAATAACGCAGCGTTTAATACGCATGTGCATATAAAAAAGTGCTGCAAGGCAATAATAAACACTTTCCGTTTCATTACACAATAATATATCTTATTTTTGAATTGCATACCGCTCGCTACGCGGTTTTCTTGGTGCAAGTAGACGGCCGAACTCACGCTAAAACCCCAGAAGTGCCATTTCGGCTACGATGAGCTGAAATTTCTGGGACATGTTGTGAGTGCGGATGGAGTGCGGCCTGACCCAGAAAAAAACTGCAGCAGTCGCCACCTTTCCTGTGCCGTCAGACAAAAAAGCGGTACGGCGTTTTCTCGGCTTGTGTGCTTATTATCGCCGATTCATTACCAACTTCTCGACGATAGCCGAACCGCTCACGCGACTCACCCGAGATGATGTACCGTTTGCCTGGACTACAGAGCAAGAAGCAGCTTTCACAGAGTTACGGCAGCGAATGCAAGAGGCACCTGTTCTTGCGCATTTTGATGAGGACGCTGATACCGAAGTTCACACGGATGCAAGCAACGTCGGACTTGGCGCTGTCCTTGTACAACGGCACAACGGCGTAGAACATGTCATAGCTTACGCCAGTCGTACTCTCTCTCGAGCCGAGGCCAACTACTCCACTTCAGAGAAGGAATGCCTCGCAGTCGTGTGGGCAACGGCAAAGTTTCGACCTTACCTCTACGGCCGTCCCTTCAAGGTGGTGACCGATCACCATTCGCTGTGTTGGCTGGCCAATCTCCGTGACCCGTCTGGTCGTCTCGCTCGGTGGAGTTTGCGCTTGCAAGAGTTTGACATCATGATTGTGTATAGGTCTGGGCGCAAGCACGAAGATGCCGACGCACTTTCTCGAGCACCCGTGGGACATCCTGATATGGACTCGGAATATGCTGATGGTTTTCTCGGAGCCCTCAGTGATTCTGACTTTATGTCTAGACAGAGAGCCGATCAGGAATTGCGCCCTATTATTGATTCCTTAGAAGGCCGAAATTCTCACACTCCTCGGCGCATCGCTCGCGAATTGTCATCCTTTGTCTAAGGAGGGGCATTCTTTACAAGAAAAATGCTCGAGGTAGCAACAAAGCCTTCCTCCTCGTTGTACCAGCCGACATGCGGGATGACATCCTCCTCGCGTGCCATGACGAGCCCACGTCGGGACACTTGGGCTACTCGCGGACTCTCGCCAGAGTGCGCCAGCAGTACTATTGGCCACGACTTTCGACCAGTGTACACCGCTACGTGCAAGGCTGCCGCGAGTGCCAGCGTCGCAAGACGCCACCCGTGAAACCTGCGGGCCTTCTCCACCCTATTACACCACCACGGACACCTTTCGACCTCGTGGGAATGGACCTTCTAGGACCCTTCCCTTTGTCGGCCACTGGTAACAAATGGATTATAGTGGCAACCGATTACTTGACCCGGTATGCTGAGACAAAGGCATTACCCCGCGGCACGGCGTCTGAAGTGGCGAAGTTCTTCGTGCAGCACATCGTCCTCCGGCACGGCGCGCCGTCATGTGTGATTACGGATAGAGGAACATCATTTACGGCACAAATGCTAGAGGACATTTTCAGACTGAGCTGCACGAGTCACCGAAAAACAACGGCTTACCACCCACAAAGTAATGGACTGACGGAAAGGCTCAACAAGACCATAGCGGACATGCTGTCAATGTACGTGGACGTGCAGCACAAAACCTGGGACGATATCCTCCCATACGTCACGTTCGCATACAATACGGCAATGCAGGAAACAACCCGATTTTCACCTTTCCACCTTGTTTATGGACGCAACGTACAAACGATGCTTGACGCTATGCTGCCGTACGATAATAGCGATGCTCTTTCTCCAGAAGCCGAGCAATACACGCAGTACGCCGAAGAGGCTCGTCAACTGGCTCGCGTGAACATCGGTCACCAACAAGACGCAGATGCACGACGTTACAACCTTCGCCGTCGAAACGTCGCATACCACCGGGTGAACGAGTGTGGGTGTGGACTCCTGTCCGACGACCAGGCTTAATCATGAAATCTTGTTCTTACAGCTTTTCGACCTTTGACCCTATCCAGTGGATGCTACGTCCAAACCCATATTGCCTGCCACGACTGGTCTGTGCCTCTTGGATGCACACGGCAATCTTTGAAATACCCCTGCCCTGTGGCCATGGTGTCTCTGCGTCCACAAGGATTGGCCTCCTGGTTCCTGCCTCTTGCTTGACAAACCTGCATTGCCTTCAACATCCGGCCTGTGCCTCTTGGATGGGCTAGGCAATCTTCCAGATACCCCGGTCAAGCAGCCATGGGGTCTCTTCCTCCAGGAAAATTCACCTTCTCGTTCCTGCCTCTAGCTTGCCAGACCTGCATTCAGTTTCAGTTTATTTATTTTTACTTTCGTGCAAAACAAACATGCTTACGTAAACATATTTCCTTTCACATCGGGCCTGTGCCTCTTAAACAGCAAAGGGTACTCTGTCCTGCAGCCATGGCGTCTCTTCACCCACAAGGGTGTGCCTCCTGGTTCCAGCATCTAGCTTGCCTTATGGGGAATGCATCGTATAAGAAAGCCCATTCCTGTAGCCTGCCCTTCCGTCTTCACTCCGTTTCAGGACTCTCTTCGGCGTTGCTGCTCGTCATCACTCCGCTGCAACCACTAGTGGAAAAGTGGGTGACAAAGTACATCTTTTGTTGTCTCCATGAGACATTCCAGTGATCTCTAGATCCCCCTGAGCTACCAACTCCTCTTTAAATGCTGTTCAAAGTGGCCTAGACCTGGCTTTAAGAGGTGGTTCAACAGTCCTAAGGTTTACACAATCTATTACACCTCAGCATGGTTTCCTGTTCAGTTGCCATACACTGAATCTAGTGTTTTTTAGCGGCTATGCCAAATATATTTGACCCGTATGATAGACTTTATGGCTCAAGCGTTACATTTGATGTTTCACAACCATGCTCACATTTCACCATATACATGACTGCACTGCGATTGATAGACCCATACGTGCATGTTTTAAGCCATGATAGAGGAATCCCTTCACATTGTGCAATGCAGTGGCGTATAAATTATCTGTTGCATTAAATTGCACGAAAAGCGGGGCAACCTTTTCGACCTTCTGCGTGTGCACGTGCAATTGGCTAGTCTTGGGCAGCACTTTAGTTTCAACCATTCACGGCTCAACTCGGTGCGCTTTTGGTTCACTCTTGAGATCCATGTGCGGGCCCTCCCTGCCTGTTCTTAGTACAATGAGGTGTTTCAGCTGGAGCATCTCCAATCTTTAAGGGGCAAGCTGTCGACTCTTCGCTTCTTTGAAATCAATTTGCTTCGGGCGTCCTGGTTGAAGGGCATCCGGAACATTGATATATGGACCAGTGCCAACATTTAGTCAGCTCCTTATGGTCCAGAACTTCATCCAAGCACCCATTGCATCTTTCCCTCATGTGTCTGCTGGTATATGCTTTCCAGCTCTTCAGTCAACACTGAATATTTTAGTCTTGCGCCCAAAAGCACAGTGCAACTAGAGGGGATAGGGGGTGACCATAATCATCGAAAAGACTTGGTCTGCTGGAAGTGTTTCAACATGTTTGATTCGTAATTCTCAGTTTTATTTAGTCTGTGCTATATTTCCTTATGTGATTTTTATAAAAATATATACAGAGGTCGGAGATTATATGGACAATGTGGCAGCAAGGCAGGCTTCTTGCTCTTTGAGTGAAGACTTTTTGCGTCTTCAAGCTCTAAAATGTGGATAGGTTCACATCGGCGAATTGTACTTGCCTGTCGAGATAACTCAAGTACAGCAGCCAGTCGCCTTGGTGACTAGTGCAATAGTCCTGTTTGTGTACTCGTCAATGTTCTCCAATAGGTGAGGTCACCGGCCATTCGTGTGTCCCTCAGCCTTGAAGGCATACACGTTGGTGCCGACTTTTATGTATCTACCCTTGAAGTAAACTGAAGGGATTTTAGAAATAAATCAAACGTCGTGTTTAGTAACGACAGGCATTATTGTTCAATATGCCATGATTGTTTTCGCGGTTGTAGCCGCAGGAGCTTTAGAACAGGCGAAATAAAAGCTTCCCTTGCTCCGTCCCCGTGAGCGTGCTGAAAGTGCGGGCGTGGAAACATACGTCATCTTCGTTTCCTCTGGCCGGGTGCAAGTGTTCTTTCTTATCTTCAACCATGGCCTCCGTGACTAACCCATGACGTGCCGTTGCCGGAAAAAATCGAAGAGGCCACACTTCAGCAGTGCTGCTGCTGCAAATGACGCGGCATACCGAAAACGACGTCGCCGTGTTCGCTCGGCATCTCAAGAAGCCCTGCGGCCACAGCCAGTTTTTTTTTTTTTCACCAAAAAGTGCTATTAGCGTTCGTTTTTTTTTTCAGAACTCTCACATCGCTTGTCTAATTCAGCAGTGAGAAAAGTGTCCTTACATGCTCCTAAGTCATTTTTTTAGAAAAAAGCTCCAACTTTCCTTTGAGGAGGAAATGCTGCTGTCTTCTAAAGTTGTATCATTCAGTCTAGTAGTGTGCAGAGATTATTTGAAGCCATTCATAGTTGTATATCGTTCAATTAAAGTGTTTAGAAGTGTTGTTTGTGTTAAATTTTATTTTATTTTCTGCTCTGCACATGTGCTCATCTTCATTATCCCTTTTTTGTATCTTTCCTGGTTTACTAAGTACCTTTAGGCTTCCGTGCTTGTGGTTTTTCTCTCTCTCTCTCTTCTATTGGCCAAGACTTAGGGCCAAACCTCATAAGCGCGAAAATGCACGCGACAGCAACGAGGGACGCTATGAGCGACGAAACAGGGCGTTCGCGCGACGTGTCGCGTGCTCGTTTTCGCGCGATCGCTCGGTTCTTCAGATTTGGAAACCGTCGCTAATCGCCCGGAAGTGCTGGGCTCAAGCAGCCAATAGCGAAATACCGGAAGAGACAAAGACTACATAGGTGCACGTGATCCTGCCCGAGTCACGTATGCGCAACAGGAAATAACGCAGCGTTTAATACGCATGTGCATATAAAAAAGTGCTGCAAGGCAATAATAAACACTTTCCGTTTCATTACACAATAATATATCTTATTTTTGAATTGCATACCGCTCGCTACGCGGTTTTCTTGGTGCAAGTAGACGGCCTCATGCCAGCAACAGTGGAATTCGCTCGCCGAAGCCGTCGCGATAATGAGGTTTGCCTGCGCTAGCGACTGATCGCGCGAAGCCGATCTACGTCGCGTCGCTTGTCGCTGTCACGTGCATTTTCGCGCTGATGAGGTTTGGCCTTTATTGTCACTACATGGTTTGTTGGATTGAAATTATGCATCAGTATGCAAATATTTTGTCCATGTTAATCCATAGCGCCAACATATGTCATCTTTGCCCAGTGAAGTGTGAATTCCCATGTAGCTACCATATATATTCAGACTACACTTGGAGCTTCCTAAACAGCAATTTTTCAAGGGTTTCGGCAGCGGCGATAGTTTGTGTCGTTTGTGCTCTATAAATTGGGGTTGCCGAGATGCGATCAAATAAAATGTCCATTGTTATTATTATTAATAAGTGCTCTTTGGCGTTAAACTGGTAGAGCACTTCTCTGAACAATCGGACTCGCCATAAGGTTGCAAACAGTGTGACCTTTTATAAATATTGTTAATAGAATAGTTTGTTAGACATTGGAACGATACATGCTAAGACTCAACGATACATAAACAAAATTGAAATGCAAACTAAACTTCAGAAAACAGAGGCTATAAGAGATAAATATTAAACACGAGGCGTTGCTAGAGTCGTTTCGACAAGCATGTCTTCATGGCGAGATACCCACAGCCTGAGCACAACGTATCGCTTCTCCTAAGCCGCCCCCTTATGTAGAAGTGTCAATTTCTCTACCTATTGCTTCAAGTTCTAACTGTAAAATGTCACACTGATATTCAGTTGGCAAGTCCATAACTAAAGTTACAGATACGATCTCACTACTTTTAATATGAATCTCTGCTCTGTCACAGTATGCGTTGCATGATTCTGCCTGGTGTGCCACAATGCTCACTTGCAAAGCGTTGAAAGAGCATCTGCCTTTTGTGACAGGACGCACCTTAATGTTTACTCATGCGGGCCATGATTGATGCCGTACGGCTCTTACATACCTGCTCGGATCATTCTAAAACTGAGCAGCTTTAGTTCGAGACTAAAGTGAATGAAGGTTATTATGAAAAAAATTGAATAGAGATCATTGAGGTAAGCTGGTGGTGTAGAAAGCTGACACGCAAATAAGGTGCTGGAAGTTTGTTTCCTGGCCTTGCACGTCCCAGAATCACTCAAGAGTGTCCCAGAATCACTGTCCCAGAGAGGTGCCCAGCCAGGGGGTGGCACACTGGGCACGTGCTCCTCCCCCCCCCCCCCCCCCCCCCCGAAATTTTTTCGCCATGGCATAGAGGGCAAGAAGCCTTTTTAAGGGATTGCCCCTCCCGAAATTAGGGTGGTGCCCCCCCTCCCCACGAGAAAAATTTCTGGCTACGAGCCTGGTCCTATAATTACTCAAATACATTGGAGACTCCACGGGGAAGCTTTTACAAAGGTGAGTTTGGTCGCCCATAGATATGCTGACCATTACCAATCGAGGGTGCCAGCAGCAAATTAGCACTTGCCCACTTATCACAGCTTGCCTGCTTGGCACTCTCTCTCGCCCCCCCCCCCCCATAGAAACGTAAATTTTCCAAGCTGTGCATAAATTTGCAGACTACATGACCATTTGAAGGAGCACTAGGGTGGGTGTTCTCATACAAAAATCCTTGCGCAACCACTGTATATTCCCAAGTACATGCGTACCTCTCTACATATAGGTATTTATACCGTTATACCTCTCCATGCACTACCAGCGTCCAATGAAAGCTGATCATTGGCAAGCCTTCGCGATAGTTTAGTGCACGCCGTCCAGTTATGACCATTGATAGGCGCGCGCATACAATTCGGCAGCTCTGCGCGTATATGCGTGCTTGCCCGCGGTAATAGCTGCACATCACGCACTGCCCCACCACTAAAGCTTGCCGCTGTTCGCGTTCCATTTGACGCTGATAGTACCTTGCATATTCATTACATAAAAGGGCTGTACAACCGTTTGGAACCAGCACAACTTGAAAGGCGT